AATTAATTTTTCAACAAAAAAAAAATAAAATAAATTACAGTGGTTGATTTCTCAACATTCTGAATTAGAAATTGTTGGATGGGAAAATTAGGCAGAAATAAATTCTTACCATAAAAATTAATTTGGAATAATAATAATAAAAAAAAAATGTCACCAACTTTTGCTGTAAAAAGTCACGCAGTAATAATTACGATTCACTGTATCAAATTGTTTCCTTGTTTTTGTCGCTACCTATACTTTTCTGAGCTTTCAAGAAAACAATGTAAAATCTACCGTCAAAGTGGGCACCACACGATCAAATTATCAACGGTCCATAATAATAAAAAAATTAATTATCAATTTTCAATTTTTCATAAATGGCAATTAGCTTAGCCATATAAGCCTATTGGGAGGACCTAAAAATAATTTTTGCGCGTGGTCCTAATTTCTTATGAAGGCGTGGAGAAAGTGAAGGTCGATTGCGGGTCAAACAAGTTGACCGTGACGGGCCACGTGGACCCCTCGTGGCTGCGCGAGAGAGTTGAATACAAGACCAAGAAGAAGGTGGAGCTCGTCTCCCCTCAGCCCAAAAAGGACGGCGGCGCCGACAAGAAGGCCGAGGAGAAATCGGACAAAAAGCCAGAGCAGAAAAAGGCTGATGACAAGAAACCCAAAGAGGTAATTAAACTACAATTGATAATTTTTTGCTTAGAAAAACATGAGCTAATGAGTAATTAAAAATTAGCTTAATTAAATTGTTAAAATTAACTTTTTGTTTTTTGGTAATTGTTAACTTCACAGCCTGCGGTTACTACAGTGGTGATGAAAATCAAATTGCACTGTGACGGTTGCGCGCACAAGATTAAGCGAGTGGTCTTGAAAAACATTGACGGTAAGTCTGTCTAATCGTTAGACAATCGATCTATCATGTTTTTTTAATTTTATGTTATAAATTTATAATCATTTTTTGTAGTTCCATTATTATACAATTATTACATCATCCATAAGTCAGGCGTGGGGGCATGACCTCAATCGTTACATAATTTATTATTCATCTAAATTATCATTCCATCTTGTTACATATAACTAATATAATAATACTAACATAATTCATTATTTTTCAACAGGGGTTAATTCGGTAAAAACCGATCTAGACAAAGATACCGTCAAGGTCACCGGCACAATGGACGTGAAGGAACTCTTAGCCTACTTAAAAGACAAGCTCAAACAAGGCATAGAGATTGTTCCCCCGAAAAAAGTCGAAGACTCCTCTAGTGGGCCCGCCAAGTCAGAAAAAGTCGCCGGAGGAGACAAAAAGCCCGATGTTGGGCCCGCTAAGGAGCCCAAACTAGCCGATGCCGCCAAGGAGTCAAAATCCTCCGACGAAGAGTCGAAAAAAGTGGAAGTCAACAAATTGGAGTACAATAGCTTCGGTCCGCAAACTCACTACATGATGCCAATGTACAACCAGAGTTACGCTAACCAGGATTATGGTCTGGATGTCTACCATCCTAGTAGATTCGCTAACCATGGTTATCATAACTCTAACTACGGTTACCCACAAATGGGCTACGTGATGCAGTACTCGCAAGGCCCACCGCCACCGCCGCCAACATACGTGGACGATCGGATGTTCAGCGACGAGAATCCTAACGGGTGCTCGGTTATGTGAAGCCGGCCGTTAATTTTTTGAATGATTATTTCGATTTATGTTATTTTTTTTGCAATGTATATAAGAGATTAAAATGGAGTTTCTCTTTGAGAAAATTTTACTACAATGTTGTAGTGAGGTTGTTAGGAAATAAGAAAATCAGTTTTGTTTTAATATTGTTTGTTCATCTAATCAAATTTCCTTTTGTATCATAATTTTTAATAATGATGATCTTTATAATGATTGTTAAGGGTATATTTTATTTACTTATATTGACAAAGGTTTTATCTGGTGAATTTCATATGCTTCTATAATTATACCTTCCCAAATCCCAATTGTTTTTTGGCAATAATATTTAAATTAATAGTTGGGTCGGCCCTTTTGCGTCATCGTTTTATAGTATATTGTTTCACAGCTAATATTCCAACCTTTTGGATCTCTTTTATTTTATTTTGCTTTCTTTTACTAGTGAAGGTTAGTATTTTATTTTAGTGAATTAAATCCGCCCACAAATGATTGAAGGTTCTAACTAAAGAAAATAAGTAAACAAAAAAACGATGAAAATAAAACGTATGAATAAATAGACGTATATATCAAATCAAAGTAAAATTTCATAGAAAAATAGTAAACAATTTGATTATTTATATAAAAAGAACTTCTCTTACTCCATTAGTGGATAATAAAAATAAAAAATAAAACCGTAAAGTTACTAGTAGCTGGTAATTACATATTGTTACCACAAAGTTCTAGAACTTCGTGCACAGCCTCATGCGTCTTTAAATATTAATGAGATAATGTCAAGCAGATAACGTTTTCGTTGTGAATTCTTGGATGACAAGAAAATGCACAATAAAGCAAACCCAATATTATATAGGCAATTTGCCAATTGGCATAGAACAAATTACGCAATCGCTTACCTCACGACCCACTTTTAACAGTCACTGCCATTAAAGTGGTTGATTGAGATATTATAACAACATATATTTTATAAACAAATAATGATAAATAAATGTAAAGGAATTCATAAACAACCTGAACTGAAATGCCAACAAGTTTTAAATAAATTATTTTGAGTTACATTTGGTGTTATTACTTTGCAACGTTGCACGCAATTTAAAGTCGAAAGGATCTTTTCAATAATTTCATTTTTCCAAGAAACGGAACCACATATAATATTCTAAACGTAAATATCATTTTATTTTTTGCAAGTTCGTAAGTATTTTTTAATTTTGCAACTTATAATATTTTTTTGGTAAATACAACCCAACCTCATGAAAAATCACAATTTACAACCCTCGTATATTTTGACCATACACTATCTAATTTGCACCTTTTTCTATGTTCCATATAAGCATATTTGGCACAAAAGCATTCGACTGATAATTAATTATTTTATTGGGCAAGACTTTTATTTAATTGTCAAAAAAATATGAGCCATCAATCTAGATATTTGATGGACGTAACAAATCTAAATTCATCTTTGTGTAAATTAATCTTCTCTCCTCCATTTAGGGTACGCAGTATTTTTTTCATCAATTTTCTGCTACATGAAGAGACGGTTAATAATTAGTTTAGATCAAGAGAATCCAGAGAAAGAAATTAGTATAAATCAAGAGAATCGAAGAGCCCGTATGCTCATTAAGTATGTCGTCTTCCACATCAAGTAAGTATTTCGTATACACCTATATATATTTTTTTTAAAATTTGTAATTTATGCATACAATTCGACTATGCACGTGTGTGTTTAGCAGATTATTGTATAGCCAAATATACCAGCGGTTGCGAATTATGAATATTATGAAAGTTCATGGATTTTATGTTGCGTCTTACCAAGTAAAATACTATATGTTGCATGGGAAGTGAGTGTTATTATGACCAGGGGCGCAGCCTGAGAAAATTTTCACCTTAGGCTGCAAAATATGTTGTTGTTATTCGAATCGAGTTGTTCTCTGACATAGTTTGATTCGACTTGTAAAAGTTTGAGATTGACTTTCTTGTATAATAAAACGAGCCAAAATCGAATAACTAATCGAGCTTGTCTATCAAATAAGTCGAGTCGAGCATGTTCGCGTATAATCAGTTAGAGTTTTGGGTTATGTTCTAGGTTTTAAGGTTAATGAATTGAACTGAGTTTATACGAGTGGAACTCAAACTTAAATTTTTATTTGTTTATTAAACAATTAAGCCACGACAACTCGTTTATTCAATGATCACGAGTTCGAACTTGAAATATTCGATTCGAAAAATCTAGCAAGGCACATGTTTAAAGAGGTCAAAGTATGACAATAATTTTTAAATTTAATATAAATTAACTGAATTACAAAGTAAATATAAAAATTATTATACTTTCTAACTAGTCGTATTTTATATGGAGATGACTCCCATTAAACAAAACTTGTGAATTTTTAACTAATTCTCGTATACATATGACAAATATTTATTTTAATTGTTTCATCATTTTTCTTTAATAATGTACAAAAATAAATTTCTCATGTACTTGAATTTTAATAAAAATTACACAATATATTCAAAAAATTACTATAAAACAGTATAATAGTTATGTCATTATTGTTATATGGCGTTCATTTAAAGGACATATGTCATTAATTTCATTGAACTTGTCAGATAAATAAATGAGATTTAGTAGTAAATTTCATATAATCAACTATCATTTTTTTAAAAAATTTAGTGAATATATAAACTTGATTGTGAAATCTATAAATTCAATTATATATTAAGTATTCTAATGAAAGTCTAGCCCAATCAAATGTTGTCTCGAATGAAATTATTTAAATAAAATCTATTTAATCAAATAATAAAAATAAACACAAAAATGACATAAAAGATGCATAATAATCTAAAAAGAAAAGTGGAAAGAAACTTAAATCACGTTCAAATATATAATTCATTGATTTGATGTAAACAAATTTAACTTATTTTAGTTAAAATAAGAAATATATTGACTAATATAATATAACATGGATTAAAATATTTTTTTACAAACAAAATCGAAAAATTAAGATAGGGTAGGAGCCGACCCCAGCCTTTGGTGGCTCCGCCACTTATTAAGACACTTCATTGAAAAGACATATACAGTGAAAGTAATTTATCACGACGCAATATATATTAATTTCATTATATAATTTAATTTTTATGATGTGAACATTTGAATTAGTGAGATATTTGGGACTGGCATATCTAATGCACCAAATTCCTATTTAAAGTGTTTGGTTTGACAATCTTTCATTTGGTTTTTAATTAGTTTGTCACTTTATAATACTAAATATGTGGTTTTATTAACAATTATCCACGGCCAGCCCGTGTCACGAGGGAATTTGACCGTCTCATAGAAAATGTTCCATATAGGTTTTATTGGAAATGTTATGGAGCTAACCGTTGGCTCCATAACAGAGCCAACGGTTGGCTCCATAGCAGGACTGACGAATTAGTCGGGGCATAACTCCGGATATCGTGGCTAGCTACCAAAAAAAAGATGATTTTAAGATTTAAATGATTTTAAGGGACATCTTGAAAAGTATTCAATATAATTTCGAAATGGATTTTTTGAGGGAGATACTTATTTAAAGTCTATTATGTTATTTGTACCAAACATATTTTTATTTAAAAAGTGATCTTATATAGTCAAAAGTCAATTTCAAAAATGTTTCCAAACATACACTTAAACTCCCATCACTATTATAAGAAAATGATATAATTTCAACGGAAAATTCCAACTGAAATATATTTCAATGCTATTATTTCAGTTGAAATTTTTCAATAACTTCCAGCGACAATTTTTTGTTGGAATAAGTGTTGAATTGAAATTTTTGTTGCATTCTACGATTTCAACGATATATTTTCTAAATGGTTAAATTGAGCGAAAATAAAAATTTCAACAAAAATTGTATATTTCAACAAAATTCTTAATGTAATATAAAATAATTCCAACATAATATGTTGGTTGGAATTTTTGTTATAATCGTTTTAACGGAAATTATACCATTGAAATATATTACCGTTAGAAACTATATTCATTCCAATGAAATATCCGTTGAAAATTTTATTGAACTATATTACCGTTGTAATATGACACTTTTTTGTGCATGAGGCAATACTCGATCGAATCTACCCAAGCAATTTACCTACCTCCATTCCAAACTATAATTATGATCAATGTATAATTTCCATCTAATTAAATGCAATTTCTGAGGACTAGTTTTACTACATTCATTGAATTTGACAACTTTGTTGGTTATTACACCACGTCTAGTAAAACAATTTCATCCTTGCAAAAGTAAAAGCCCCACATTAATCATTCATACTCACTAGTGAAAATCATAGTTTAGGTATGCATTGTATTGGAAGTAGAAAAAAATTAGTGGTATAAGATATTAAGATGGCCTTCATAAATCATAAATATCATAGTTGATCAATCAATACAATACTTAGATGGAAGTTAATGCCATACATATATGAGATCTGCTCCCCTACCCACGGTGGGCAGGGCATTAATATGTCCACCGCTTATGTGGCATGTATACATTGGGCATAAGCAGTGGGAACAAATGTGTATGCCACATAAGCGGTGGACATATTAATTCTCTGTCCATCATAGGTAGGAGAACAGATCCGTATATATATATATAGCTGCTCATTTAGCTATATAAATTCATCTTTTTACATGTGCTTCATAATAAACCCTAAGTTCAAAGATCTAACCATATACTACGTGGCTTAGTGGGGACTATATAAAAAACCTAATAAGGGCATTGCCCAATCGGTAGTCACAGCTTGTTAACGGTGAACAAGCCAAAAAATATAGTAGAGGGAAATTCAATGAATTATAATTTCAAATAAATATTTATAGATATAAAGTAAATAATAATTAACAAGTCCAAATGTCACTGGACTATAGATACATGAAGAGGGTAAAGGTAAATCTTGAAATAATTTAAATGAAAGGGAGCAAAATATATAAATATAAGAGATGGCAAATTTGAGTGTATATGTGTGAAGAGTGACTGAACTTATAAATTGAGTTAAAATTAAAATTTACACATAATATATAATATATATATTTTCACCTGTATCCTGACTAGTGACTAGACATGGCCAGGTGCCGGGTCCGGGTCCGGCCCGGCCCGGCGGGTCGGCGGGCCTCAATTGTTAGACCCGTAACCGGCCCGGCAATTCCTATGGGCCGGTTCATTTGAACCGGCCCGGTCCGGCGGTTCGTTGAATCGCCGGGTTAAAAAAAATAAAAATAAAAATGAACTACGACTCGTCGGAAAAACCGGAACCGGTCCCGGCCCGGCCCGGCCCGTCTGGACCGGTTAATGAAAACCATTGAACCGTAACCGGACCGCTTTGGGCATGGTCCGGTTCACGGCCCGTGTACTATTCATGCCGGTACCGGTGCCGGTTTGGTCCGGGCCGGTACCGGTTCACGGTACGGGCCACGGGCCAGTTCGGCCCGTGGCCATGTCTAATCCTGACTCAGCTCTGACTATGACGGTATGACCAACTAATTCTTTATATTCCTTCTCAACATGACATGGCATGGCATGTATGATGGTTAATGCATCATCATTCATGATTCATAAACTAATTAAAACACCCATGTAATCTTATGTAATTATCTTTTGCCCCTGTTTTAATGTTTAATTGTCTTGTGAGCACTTCGGCTGTTTTGAAGTATGAAATGGGTTTGGCTTCGAGAATCTCCGTGTTTTTAAAAGGGCCAATTTTGGAAAAAAAAAAAAATATTATGAAAATAAGAAATAAAAAATTAATTGTAGGTGAGGCAAGAAAAGACAGTGATGTGATTATGGGGACCAGTCCACGTCAGTCACACTCAAAGCAACATTGGATTTATATAAATTTATTTTTATATTGACATCATTAAATTGAATCGGGATTTTGAGAATTGGTGGAGGGCATAGCCGCATAGAAATATTAATTAGTATCGTGAATAAAATGTGCATGTCAGCATATATCAAATCTTAAAATATACCATCATATTTGTGTGCTAGAATGTAAATATCTAATATTACATGTGAAACCAATAATTTTATTGTTTATCTATCTCCTGAAAAAATGACCATATTATATATGTAAATTATAAACCACAAGGTTAATCGAGATTTACAGATAATTACTTTTTAACCTTGACTTGCTTAGAGCAGAACCAGATTAAGTTGGGTCATTCAAACCGGTTAACAAGCAGTTTGGTTAAACATATGCATTCAACCGGCCTGATCAACCAGATTTGACCCGACAAAATATTTTTCTCGTTTTTAAATAGTTATGATGAATTTTTATGACGATATACAATTTTATTAAAATTTTGAGATATAAAATTTACATAAGAATTATTTATTTATATATATATATATATTTATGATAAAAAAACATATATATGAAATTTACCTTTTCACCCATAACCTAAATGACCACGGCTTTTACCTTAACGAGTTTGAAAACATTACTTCAAAGTTGAAAATGTGAAAAAGAAAATCGAACATCTTAATTGAAAAGGAAATATATCTCAAAATTTTCAAAAGTCAATACAATAAATTCTCATGTCTCCTAAAAGACTGCTAGGAAGCTTCATATTTCATTGTGAAACAATGAAAATTGAATACGCCCCTCCATTCTCGACATTTTATTTTATTTTATAATTCATAAAGTTCAAAAGTTTGAAGCTTCAACCTATAACACGAGCATTTGGTAATGAAAACTATTTATATATTTAGGACCTTTTATTTGACTTTTTCTTGATTTTTTGGATAAGAACAAGGATTTCAGGTCTAATTCTTCATTCGTGTGTGTCAGCGTTCAAGTATTGGGCCACCTGAAACTCCTTGAATTGAAAGTCAAACTAAAATTAATCATATTTATTTGCATAGATATTATACTTTATATTGTTGGTCTTTTGTGACATATTTCACCATTAACTAATAGCAACTAGCTGATTGTGAATAACTGTTTCGTATATAGTGGATTGCATATAATCATTTTGAAATTTTACGTAAACATGTTATTTCACAAATCTTCTCTTCTCCAAAAACTCCTATATTAAGCTTATTTAAAATCAACGTTTAAGTTTAAAAAAGTTAATGGAATAAGCTTTTTGCCAAATAAGTTAAAGAATATGTTTGATAAGCATCGTCAATTACTTAATTTTTTTTCATTTAAAAAAAAAAAACTGAAGTTTATCTTATGTAACTTTTGAAATAAATTCGTTAAATTTTTATTTAAGCAGACATATCAGCTAATTTTACTACACAATTATTATATCAACCAGCTTTTGTCTCATGCTATTAACTATAAATAATTTTAAATTCACTTATAAACTATCAGTTAATTTTATCAAAAATGGCCTAAAGAGTATAACAAGTCCGCCATAACTATTAGACTGTCTCACACACTAATTTATTAATATATATAACTATTTATGTTGGAGATGGTTTGGCGTTAAAAGAATTTGAATAGATCAAGTTGAACTGAAAATAAGTGATCCGCTTCTCTTTTGAAGTTCCAATGATATTTATGAATTTTTGTGATTACGGGTTTAATGTGAATGGAAAGTAAGAGTTTTTTTTTAAAAAAATAATAAAATCATTTTATATTTGTTATTAGTTTAATCTATTCGTTACATAGGTGATTATGAGACACCATCAATATGATTATGAGAGTTTATTTAATTTAATCTCTTATAAATATTGATTGATTATATAAATAGTAAAGGGATAATTAATTTAAATTTCTTTAACAAAAATGAATAAGTCTATACGTCACTTATTTACATTTAGTGAAGGGATTATTCATTCACTACAAAAATATATCAATAACGGAAATTTGATTTGGACCTATAATGTGTTGGGCCTGGGTCCCTTGTCGGCTTAAGCCATGGCCCAACATATGTGATATGGACTTAGTTTAATGGATGGCTTGTGGTTATTTTTTATTTATCGTACAAGTTATGTTAAAAAAAAAATGAAAAATTATACCCTAAACCGCCAAAAAATTAAAAGTTGTGTTTAAATTGCTGCCAAAACGAAACTTAATTGATTTTACAATCGAGTCTACTTTTAGTAACTCCCATATCTCGCAACTGTTGCTACCTACACATATTACCAAAACCACAAATGAAATATGGTAATTATGTTCAACAAGATTTCACTATACAATAAAGTAAATAAATATATACACAAACATAAATTAATGAATGCCAAGAAGCAACACTTCTATATTTTATTACACAATAGCTTATTATCCTAAACACACGAGTAAATAATGAAGCTAGGCCGCTTATGTAGTACTATTCAACCATGAACACCAAATCAAGAAACACACAAGAAACTACACATTATTAATTACACCCTAAAATTAAAAAAATAAAAAATAAAAGTAAAATTGCCCAATTGCCTCATCTGCTAAACTTCTATGAAGCTTCATCTCCAAAAACACACACCTATAAATCATCCAGAAAAAGATAAAAATTCCCTCTATTGCTCTTCAAACCCTTGACCTCTCTCTCAAAGTTCAAAACACAACAATGGCACAAGACAAGCAAAGCAGCTCAAATAACTCACTCAAGCTCTTTATCAAGAGACTTCAAAACTATCTCCGGCTCTTGAGAAAACCGCACGTGCCGAATGGCATCAAGAAAGGGCATTTTACCATCTTGGTGAAAAACGAGGACGGGCGGCCCACAAGGCTTATCATGGGGCTGTGCACGTTGAAACATCCCGGTTTCTTGAGGCTGCTAGAAATGGCGGAAGAGGAATATGGACTTGGGCAGAGAGGAGCACTCGTCGTGCCATGTGGGCCGGACGAGATTCGGAGGATTTTGGAAGAGAAATAGTAGTGTTTTGAGACATTCTTTCATTCTTCTTTTGGAATTTTACTTGTGTAGAGAAAGATATAGATACATTTTTTGTTGTTTATAGTTATTTATTATTAGTCATTATTTTTGGTTAAGAAACTAAAGGAGGGAGACTCTAGGATTATAAGATAACTAACTTAACAAGACTGAAAGATCAGTGAAAAGGAGAGCCTAACTGTGGATTTGGAATAAGAACTGAAAAGATTTATTCATGGGAGTATGGTATGGGACAGTAAGGGTACAAACGAGTTGAGCAGCTCGAGCTTCAATCGAGCTCGAGCCTGTAGTTTGTGCGCTCAAGTGCTCAACGAACCACAAGAATTCACTAAAATGACTTAAATAGCCATCATTGGAGTTTTTTTTATTGAAATTTTTTGACCCGAACGCTAGCGAAATTCGAGCCGATATCTAGCGTTGTGTTTTGTTGTAGAGTCTGAGCCTCGCGTAAAACAGGCTTGTTGAGCTCAAGCTCAAGCAGGTGTCAAAAAATCAAGTATGGCTCGATAAGACCAATACTCGACTCAGCTTGGTTCGTAATTTATCAAATGAAATAAAACACAGAATTCAAATACACACTGAAACATGAGATCTTATCTGCAATTTAGTATCTCCACCTGCCATTATATAAAAGCATTGGTATCAAATTTCATTCCAGTAGCTAATGTTCTGCATACCAAATACTAATAAACCCACCAAAAAGATTGCCCATATTTTAGAAAAACTTAAACAGTATTCCTTGAAAAACTATAATCAAAGGCTAGTTTATTAATAATATGCTAGATAGAAAATAAAACATTTTAGCAGCCTAAATATCGCAATTTGGCTAACAGTAGTAGCAAAAAATAACAGTAGGCACACTCTAGTTTGCCATCCACAAGGACCATAAGAAGAAAAGTGCCACCTTAAAAGAGTACAACAAATAAACATAAGAACCAACACTATCATCATCTTTCCCTTAATGCAACAATTTAAATGCATAATAAATTCTGCATTTGCCTCTTGCAGCAAATAAGCATTGAACCTAATTCGCACAGTGTCGATCAAACATCTCATAGGTTAACTAATTTGCAGTGCCACATTGTATCATTACATAGCTTCAACCTCCATTGGCAAAGGAAATGCTTTCCCACGATGGTTGAAGATCATGAAATCCAGATTGGCTGGTAAGCTTACCACCCTGCTTTGCCGAGAAAGACAAGAACGGACAATTTTAACGTAAGTATTCAGAAGCATATTAAAAGAGAAAAAGAAAAAGAAAAAGAAAAAAAAAAGCTGGAAAAGTGCTTGTGAATCTGTTATCTGCACAATTCAATCAGACATAGAATGGAAAGTGCTTGTGAATCTGCTCAGTTTTTCTTGTTTAGTTTCTTCACCTTTTCTTTAACCAAAATGATCGTTGAATTTCTATAAGATATACCATACTATAAAACTCATCTTGCAAGCGTTTTAATGACGTGTCTCTTATAAACAAAATTGACAAATGATACACCATTTTGTTGATATTATCATGGGGTTCAAAAGCCATCAATCAATTTTGCCATTCGACTAACAACCAGTCTGTAGTTGAGTTAGAAATTTTTGTTTCATTACAGGGTTGGCTGGTAATCAACTTCAGAAGGCAAATTGTCGATCTCTTGAATTCGGGAGGCATTTCTCAACTTTCTAACTTTAGGAGGTAAAGTGACAAAAAACACAGACTTTGGGAAGTAAAATGATTTTTCCAATTCTCTTATTTATAATCTTAGCTCTGCAGTTCTTCCCTACTCTCTGTGAGAACCTATACAACCTCACGTGAGATAACATCAAAGTTAACAAGACAAATAGCATAAAACAATACTAGAAACAAATATCAAGAAAAATGCTTTAAACTGTTGATATACAACTTTACGGCTCTTTTTAGTCCAAGACCAGAAATAGATTACAGAATGAAAGAATACACAGGACATGGAAGTTGGAACAAGTTTGAGAACACGAGAATGAAGAGATCTTGTAATTGCCAACAACTACATACTTGTAAACTCACGAGTGTTAATCTTAATACCCAACAAATTACAGGCTCACAGCACAACCCAACAATGTGAACGCATTAAAGCACTGGTTTTGCCAGAAATCATGAACCTTGCTAATCAAGAGGCCCATTTGACGATACACCATACATTTAAAGAAACTAGAAATTCATTATCAACTGATTGCTTAGAGTTAGATTCACACAATAATGCTATACAAATGCATATTATTGTTGTTCCCAAAGAAACAACACACGCCCCAACGAAAAATCCTAATTCTTCACATGACTTATTCAGTCACATTAAAAAAAAGTAACACCTCGGGCAAATTAGTGCCCTCCACCTAAAATTCATTGACATGCTACCCCTTTAGATTCAACAACCTTCTATTAATGCAACAATGAATTACTACAATTAAGTAGATTAACACAATAATATCACAAGAAAGTAAATAACAGGTAATTAAAAAATTACCTATTCTCATCAGAATGTGGGAGTATCGACAAGAACTTCCCAGGGACGGTTAAAGCAGCCCACATACACAACAATAGTCCTCCAATCAGCTCAATTACTACCTGAAAAATAAACCAAGAAAAAAACAACAACAAATCAATTAACCTAAAAGTAAGCAAAACACATCAAATTGTAGGTAGAACTAAATTACGTTGATTGGTGGCCCTGAAAACTCATCCTCGGTGATCTTGAGCAGGGATCTATCTGCAAATGATACAAAATCGACAGCCCATCAGAATCTAATGATCGGAGCAAAGAAAGATACAAGTGTAGATCGATAGTGTGAAGGGTACACTGGATGGTGGAGTAGGCCGCGTGTGAGAGGAACAAAACCCCGAAAACTCCGACGAGGAAGCCTGCGCCCATGGCTACTGTTTTTCCGGCCTCTGTTTAAGTGTTTTGCAGTTGGCTGGGGAGTAGAGATCGCCGGCCGACGACTGCGAAATTGGAGTGAATTTTGGATGGATTTTGAGTCTTGATCCCCAATGCGTTTCTCCACGTACGTACATAATATTGCTTTGGGCTGCCTCTGGGCCTAAGGATACCGATATTGGGCTGGTTTAGGCAAAAGTGACTGTGAAGAGTAGTCCCTTTTGCTAACTTAAAAATTAATATAAGCTATTTTATATGTTTACTATATACATTATGAAGAATTTTGCAAAATATAACATTAAAAATAAACCATACATAAAGTTATAAACTAAAGAATAATGCAATTTAGGACCAAATACAAAATCAAACTACAGATCGATTATTCATAAATAGTTAAATATGTTATCGTGATCAATTGTAGATCGAATATTACTTGAGTTATTTAAATGTTTCTCTCAAATTCTTTCATTTAATCTAAATCTTTGAATTCAATTCATGTTACTAACTATATGAATGAAAAGAACAACAATAATATGATTATTATGTCGCACGTAAAATTTCGTTTTATACTGATTTTAATGATTCTTCATCTTTGAAAATGAGAAATTTTCAAAATTCCAAAAATTATTCTAGGTACGTTATTGCCAGTGCATATCACACAAGTTGCATTCTAGTTAACTACCATAAGAAAATATTTATTGGATCAATTCGTTGATATTTGGATAATCTTTTTTTTGACTAATTTGTAGATAAATGGTAAAGATAAGCGAACCGGGCCTATTAAACCTTCATTTAGCTACTAATATTTAAATAATAGCTATCAAAAGATATGGAGAACTTAGGTTATCTTCAGAATCTTTTGTATCAAATTATTTTTCAACATTAGAGAATAAAATGTCGACCAACTTACACAAAATTTAATTTAAAATCGTGAGTTGATTGAAATTTGCAAAATAAATAAATAAATAAATACACCTCACTTTCCACATTTCACTTTCGAACACATGATTCCTCGTGTAATAAGGTCGCAGGTCACGCTTGCAAACAAAAGGATACGAACATGAGTTTGTGGGTTCGAATTAATGTAATGTCTTTTCTTCCGTAATGTAATAAATATTTAATTTTATTTGTAAAATTCAGAAAAACTCGTAATTTTTATTATAATTAAACTAAAAAAAAAACCTCAATCATTTAAACTGCAAATATAGACAATGGCAGTGACTAATATCTGGTAACTGATGTGACAGCTCAGCCCAATCACTCATTCTGCATAAAAGAAAGAACCTCATAAGTCATAATAAGGCCACAGACCATTTTCAGTCCACACACACCACAACTCTATTCAATTTCAATCCCGATCACCAATCAATCACTTACAGTCCAACCCACAAAACCTGGGACAACAACCACCACACATCATCATAATCCCACCACCTTTCCAGGGCCACATAAACCCTTCGGTCCAGCTAGCCCTGCACCTCGCCGCCAAGTGCTTCGTCATCACTTTCGTCAACACCCAATTCATCCACCATCGGATCATCACATCGGCAAGTAAAATCGACGGTGAAGATTTGTTCGCCCGAGCACGCGGGTCGGGTCTTGACATCCGGTACAGGACGATTAGCGATGGGTTTCCCCTGTCGTTTGACCGGTCTTTACACCAGGAGCAGTTTATGATGGGCCGGATCCATGTGTTACCGGCCCATGTAGACGAGATTGTGGGCGAGCTAGTGGGCTTGGATCCCCGGCCCGCTTGCTTGGTCGCGGATACTTCTTCGACTTGGGGATATGATGTGGCCCGAAAGTATGGGCTCGTATTTGTTTCCTTGTGGACTCAACGGGCGGCGGTTTTGTCGATTTACTGCCACGTGGACTTGTTGAGGGCAAATGGTCATTATGGTTCAAAGGGTGAATGATT